CAAGCCGAGGGCGCGGAACCTCGGGTGACAGATGAAGTTGACGGCTCGGTAGCCACGGCCAAGGCAACTTCTATCGTGTCACCGGTACCCATTCAAGCTGCGACCGCGGCAGGGTCGGGCACTGTAGTAGGCAGTACGATGGTTCGAGTGTCTTCTGGCGGGCCATCAGCCGAAGGTGGCTTGCCGGCACGTCAGTCCATGGGGTCACTGACAGACGAGGTGGAGATGGTGGGTGCCGTGAACGCACAGAGCTCGATTCGCTATCAATTGGCTGCTATGGGCAGTGGGGCCAGCTCGGTGGACATGTCAGTCGTGCACGAGTCGGCCATCGATACGTATCGAAAGCAATTACAACAGGTCGAAGCCTTGTTGGCACGCCATCAAGGAGATGGCGTTGTCCAGTCTCGCCTTCAGCGGCTGCGCAAGGTTTGTGAGCGTATTGTTGTGGGTTCTGTTTATCAGTCCAATGATGTGCATGTGTAGTGAGGGAAGCACGTGTCAAACAGAGTTTGCCCCGTAACCTGCCACTTGGGATCGTGCCATAGACGTTGCAAACACAGCTGGAGCTTGAGCAGCAAAACTTTCACCTTTCCAACGAGCTACAACATTTGTTCGTGGAGGAGCCTTCAGGAGTAGAACCGAACGGGCTGCAGGGCTTGACTGGTGATACTTCTCTGGGAGGATGGCTGTCTTCAACGGAAATAGCAACAGCGACCGGCGCCTCGCTCGCCTCCGGGGCCGCAAGTGTCCCACACACTTCGAACGTGGCCGGCGCAGTACCGACTGGGTTGAACCAAGCCCCTTCTTCAGATCCCGTGTTTTGGGATCTGGATCAGGTGGGCACTGGTGCCGAGGCCGAGGGGACCCAGCAGCCAGACACGGGGATGCATTGGGAGGCCAGTTCTTCACCAGTGCTGGGTGGTGCCACGGGCATGGCAACTAGTCATGGAGCGGTCATGCCATCGTCCATGATGCTGGAACAACCCATGAGCTCGTCCTATCACTCGGTCGCGCTGGCGAGTAGTCCTTTCCAGACAGAGCTAGCGCATTCGTGGCAGGACCATGATGATGCCGGTGCACACTTCGCCGGGCCGCGGTCCGAGGTGCCTACGTGGGGCGATGGCGAGGCGGGGACCACGGGTATGTTGGCTGTCTCCTGGAACGACGACGCAGGTCTTGATCCAGCCGTCGGCAGTGGTGCAGGGGACCTGTCGTGGTCACCAATGTTTCAGGGTTCGCAACCAACAGCCGCCAGTTTACCGGTTAGTCTTCCCCTTGCACCGCAGCCCCATCGGTTCTTATTTGGACCAATCAGGTGGAGGGAAACGATGAGAGATGAGGGACAGTTGGGTGGCTGGCTCACTGGGGTACCCTGGCTGCGGATGTCATCGCCCACTTGTGTAGGATGGTTGGCAGTAGTCGTCCGTTACCCTCAACTGTGCTGTTGGATCATCTCCAGCTTGTCCAAGCCCCCCTGGTCTGTTGTCGATAAGCTGCATGACAAGTGACAAGTGTGTGTCCAAGTGAACGAATTTATTATGGGAAGCCAGCCAGCCAGCCAGCCAGCCGGTCATCTGACATTCTGACATTATTGGCTTCCAAGCCATAACCTTGACGACCAAGCAACGACGCCATCACACTTTTTTACTTTTGCACACACACACACACACTTAACGTTTTTTTTTTTTTTTTTTTTTCATTTTTTGGGAACTCGCTGCAACTGTTGTCGACGTGACGTGACGGGACGGTGGTGGTTCGAGCTCGAGGCTGGATCGTCGAGCGTTTGCGTGTGCTGCTGAGACCTGTTCTGTGTGAGACTGCATACATCCTCTGATTTGTGTGTTGAGGCAAGTCTCGACGATGGCTGTGATTGAAGAGTTGTCGCCGCAGGAGCAAGAGCCGGCGGTCAAGCCCATGGCTTCGGCGCCGGCGCCAGCAGCAGAGGTGCCTAGCGGGCCTCGGTAAGCAATTTTGGCTTTGTCCCGTCCGTGGAGGATAATGAGGGCAGGTGCTAAAAGCTGACGGGGCCGCGTGCTGCTCTGGGTGTAGCATCACGAAGAAATACCTGAAGCAGCTCTGCAAGGAGATGCAGCAGTACAGCACGCCATCGTTGAATGATATCCTGTACCTACACTACAAGGGTATGTCTTGGCTTTGAATGTGAGCACGCATTGGTCTGTGGTTGAAAGCTACAGCAATTGGTGTCAAGAGTTAACAACATGGTGTTGTGATGTGTGTTTGCACGGCGGGATAGGGTTCAGCAAGATTGAGAATTTGGAAGAGTACACGGGCCTCAAGTGCTTGTGGCTTGAGGGCAACGGCATCGGCGAGATTGAGAATCTCGAGGCTCTGACGGAGTTGCGGGCTCTTTACCTGCAAAAGAATGTCTTGCGTGAGCTGAAGAACCTGGACGCGCTCGTGCACTTGGATCAGTTGAACGTGAGCAACAATCTCATTACGAGCTTGACCGGTCTGGAGCGTTTGGAGCGCTTGAACACGCTGCAGGCCACGCACAACCGACTGGCCACGGCCGATGATGTGCGTGGATTGCTAGCCTGTCCTTCTCTGTCTGTGGTCGACTTGTCCCACAACCGACTGGAGGATCCGGCCATCATGGATGTCTTTGCGGCCATGCCCAATCTTCGAGTACTCAACTTGATGGGCAACAAGGTGATCAAGGCCGTGCCCAACTATCGCAAGACCACCATCGTTCGCTGCGAGCACTTGACTTATTTGGATGATCGGGTACGTCTTATTTCTTGCCACGCCACTTTTCGGGCGGGCCATGTGCAATTTTAGCATGGTGAAGTGAACGAGGGGGCGTTTTGCTTGGCTTTGGCAGAGAAGAGAACGTGGTGCTCATCGTGTCTGGTGTTGTGGGTGCTTGTGTGTTCTTTATTTGACTGTGGTAGCCCGTCAGCGACCGTGAGCGAGCCTGCGCGGTGGCCTGGTCCAACGGTGGCCGTGAGGCCGAGCGAGCGGAGCGAGAGCGATGGATTGCTGCAGAGCGCGAAAGGCAGTATCGCTCTGTCAAATACCTGTGGGATTTGCGGGAACAGCACGCCGCGGCCCGTGCGGCCAACGGTGATCCCGACTCGGACGAAGAGGCCGAAAACGTGGATCTGGAGTCGGATGCAGCGCTGGTGGGCTCGACGGTGGATCGATCTGGCATCGATAGTGACGGTGAAGGCGGCGACTCTGCGTCTGTGCCGAACAAGGCCGAAGCCACAGAGATCCAGGTGACGAGCACGTCGGTTGAGGAAGATCAAGAAACCTTGACGCCACATTTGTCCACCATGCCTGCGGCAACGTCGGCGCCGGTTTCGGACGTGCCCCCGCCATTGGAGGACATGAGTGCCGAGTTAGGCGTCTCGGAGGCCATTACGGGTCCGCGGGCTCCTGAGCAGATTTGGGATGATGAGGAGCTTAATGGCGTCGTGGAGCCAACGTCATCCTCGGCTGCCCCCATGACGTTTTTGACGGCTGCACGGGACGAAGGGGCCGATAGTGATGCCGAGGAGGTTGAAGAGGAGCTGGAGGTGCGGGGTGGTCCACAATGGCTTCGCGTGGGCAACGATGCGACCGGTGCCACCGCCACGGGGTCGGGAGGTGCGAGCGGTCGCCCCAAGATTGAAATCTTGGCCTCGACCGACTTTGACGACCTTGACTAGAAGTGTTTTTGGTCCACCGCAGACTTTGTGCGTACCTATGTGTGTGTGTGTGTGTGTGGGTTGCGCTTGCCTGGCCGCGCCAGGATCTTTCCCTCGTTTCCTGCACGCCGCGCTTTTCCGTGTTCTTTTCCGTGTTCTTCTCAGTTTCATGGGTCTGACATCCGCCCATGGCTATTACTCTTTTACTCGTGTTGTCGTGCACACCACCCTGGCTCCCTGGACGAAGTCAATAATTCATGTCGAGTTCTTCCCCTCAGTGTCAACCATCATTGGAATCCGGTCACAGCAGGCGAACTCGGTGACAGAAACAGTGAGACTGGAAGACTGGGGGAGACTCGGATATCCATTTCGTCATCCGTCAACTTGGAGGGCCAGCTCGTGTGCGGGTCGAGTGTGTTATATAGTACACTTTACATGCTAATGTCACGCGCTGGACCCGGACGCACATTCGAACACTTGTTCTCAACAGTATGTTTGGACAAGAGCCACATGCCAGAGTTACATGACCACCTCCGTCAACTACACAAACGTCCATATAGTCTGCACAAAGTAATTAAAACAAGGTTAGCAAAAATACAATAACTTTGTAATGCACGTCGATAACTCTGATGCGGGCGGGGTTCATGCTGTTGCACAATCTGCACGAGAGTAGAAGCAAGTCCAAAGCAGAGAATACGGCAGCGCCCCAGCGGTTGAGCTTGTCATGGCGGTGGTGCTGGTGGCGGGGCCGGTGTGGCCTGGTCGAGTTGGTGGGGAACAAGGCGTTGGGCAGCTGGCACGACCCCCTGTGTTCATGTGTGCACCGGCCAGGGCAGCGACACGCGCTCACATTGCGCGCGCTTTTTTGTCGTCTGTATCGCTGCAGCGATGTCATACTTCTCTGCTTTGGGATCAGAGAATCCCGATATCTCTGACTCGTGCTTGATATAAAGTTACAACCTTGCTTGGATCCGAGCACATCTCTGACATCAAGTTATCCCAGGCCGGTCTCTCTATCAGACCGTTCACTTTCACTTTCTCTCTCTCTCTCTCGCGCGCGCGCGTTCTCTCTCTCTGAATGTGTGTGTTGTAGTCGACGGGGTGTCGGGGTCCATACGGCAGCGCTGCCGCTGTCACACCCGCCGTCGCACCATCATCACCACCACCGCCGCCGCCGTTGCGCCTCTCTCTCCCTCTCTCTCTCTCTCTCTCTCCCTTTTCTACCCATCCAGCCACATCTACCTGTTAATCTTCAGCCGTTG